CCTCCCACCTGAAAGGTGAATTGATCTGACCTCCCTCCTCCTGATCTGGTAGAGCTGTCGCGGGGGGGAAGACATATGAAACAGGAAAAACCAAGAAAAGTCAACAACCTTTATCAGAAAGCGAGAAGGCCAATGTGACCCCTCCTCCCTCTCCCAACAGCGAGCAAGTACAACCCCCCCCCTTCTTATAACGTCCCGAAAAGAGAAAACAACTATCAAAAAAGTTTTTCCAAACGAAATGCGACCTTCCCCCTCCCCTCCCTCAGCGACCAAATACGACCGCCCGCCTGTTAGGGAATCCCCTACGATGATGTGCCCTGGCTCCCACCTGAGCCAGCCAAGCTTCAGCTCAAACAATGATTGGTAGTGGATCCGCTAGTGAGGTCAATAACACTGGCTCGCACATTGAGTGGCGCCACAAGTTATTGCATAGGATACATCACATTCAAAAGTCGATACGGTAGTAAATGGAAGTGGAATGCGTGCCGCATCCCAAAAAGTGACTCACGAACGGCAGAATCTACATAGTCCTAGCTAAAAGAGAGGTGAGAGCTATGAAGCTCATAGGAGAAACAAAACCTGAGATGCGGTTGGTGCTACAAGCACATTTTCAAGATAAAATGCAACAGCATACTGATCGATCCAGCCCATGTTGTCGTAAACCTGTCGCCATCGATTGAACACCGCTGATACATAGAAACCAAGCATAAACGTGACAGGAATAAACGACGAGTGCTCATTGAAGAAGATACAAATATTCTCGAATGTCCTTCGAATAATTCATTAAATCATTAAATAGTCGTCCAGAACATGCTATTGATGTGATTATGTTCATTTGTTTGAAATCTTTAAGTAAAAATGATTTCACTGCTCATGAGTGGCGCACGAACTCATGGTACCCTCTTCCACAACCCTTACCACCAAGCTATTTTTCCTTTGTAACTGCCAGCTACTGCATTTCGTTTACACGACAATGTTGCCTTTAGCATATTATAATGCTAACTCAACCTTATTGTTCGGTCTAAAAGTACCATTAGAAAATCTGCAATCTTTCGCGGGATCAAGGCTTTTTGTCGCACTAAGGCAGTGTACAGACTTCGCGATAACGCGAATTGTCGCGCTATCGTTGTTACGTGCTACCAAAGCCACTGACAAGACGAGCCCCGAAGGCGCAAAAAATAAAGTCACAATAGTACCGCTTAATAGATACCAATCTGATTCTTTCACTCTTTCAAGAACAAGCGGCCGGCGCCCATTGATTTCCGTCTGCGACTGTGTTCGCGTCTACAGCTTCAGGGTGCCTTTGCAACTTTAGAGCGTCGGCGCGCGTCATCGCGAGTTCTGAACGCTGCCTAATAAAAAAAGTGATGCTTGAAGGGAGCTGTAGTAATAGAACACTACCTTCATTAGAAGCGATACGGTTGTTACTGCTGGGATGGAATCCATCAATCGCTGCACTGCAAGAATCATTTTGCGACTACGTGGTATTTGAAGTCCCTCTTGTTCACGACATGAACAGGTATGTTGGGCTCAACATTCTCGACCTTATTGTACATATGTTTCTTCTTTGCGTGTCTTCTGGCCCGCCTTGTCACAGTTCCAGCGCGCTGAACGTCTCTACTTATCTCACGCTGCTCCTACGCTAAAGAGCTCATTTGGGACAGCCTTTCCAACAATTTCCTCTTCTATTCCACTTTTTGGCAAGTCAACTAGCACACATCTACATGGATACACAATACCAGAGTACGGGAGAACGAATTCACGCTAGCAGGGATATATGCCTGAACCCTACTGGCCACGAGGTGCAAACCGCTGCTCGTAATCCAATTTGAATAATGGAAAAGACTTACTCTTTGTGGTGCTTTACAAGGAAAAGGCGATACATTATACTTAGAATAGCGTAAAGTATACACCAGATCAACAGTTCTATCCAGACTGCTTTCCAGACGGAACCCTGAAAATGTCTTCATGACAATAGTTGGTTAAGGTCCATGTCAGGGCTAGTTCCTATGAAACTCCGGTCACCTGAGTGCAGCTACCACTTCCGCAGAATTTTTTTTTCTTGAGGGAACATTGTTCGACAGCGACCTACCAGTCGCCGAGGTCATTTCCTACCTCTCGCTGGTACACTACATATTTTGACCCTGTTTGAAACAAACTCTCAGGAGTTTTTGATTGTACATGTTTCGGCCAGGAAAAACGTATTGAGAAGCTCCTAAAGGTTCAATTTCATGATTTGCTTGCATCATTCTGTCGCTTTTTGGCGGTGGTCTTGTACGTAGTTATTTAGTTCACTAATTTCAGCTGCAAAGCTCTTGGTGAACAGAAATATTTTGCCTGTATTGATCCATAACTTTTGGAAAAGCAACCAGCAAGATTAGTTGGGGTGAAGGCGTGGGCACAATGGCAGCGTCAAGCGTGGACAGATTGTTCAAAGGCTGTCAATTTCGATAATGTAGTGGATTTGAAACCACTTGTACAAGGTCACTATTTCTGCGCACCATGCGGTTTCCAATCAAATCGCGTCGTGCTTTTTACAAGTCTTATTTGTCTTCATAAACAGATCGGTTGAAAACACAGCCTTCCCCAATTTCACATCGACCTGCAATAGCTTACCTTCCATCGGAACAGCAAGTGATGAAAAGTGAAAAAGTTTGTGGTAGCGACGTTGAAAGTGTAGGTGACCGTCATTTTGATCGAAACCTGGTTGCCGACGGAACACTTCACGCGGAATGTATTGTTCTGTGCACTTTGATAAGGTAGTTTAAGCTAAAACATTATGGATTATTTTGTGAAATGCGGGGAAGCTGGGAGCAATTAGAGGCAATAAGCTAAAATGGTGAATAGATATTGGGCCGTGCTCCTCTTGCTTCATACAATCGCGTCTTGGCCAACAGGGCACATCATCAAGGGGATTCCCCAGCAGGAAGGTCGTATATGGTCGCTGAGGAGAAGGGATAGTATTTGGCCTGCGATGATTTTTTCGATAGTTCGTTTGTTTTTCTTACTTATCGGATGCTGCAAAAGTGGGGGAGGGGTTGTATGTGGTCGTTGTTGTTAAGTAGGGGTCGTACTTGTCTTTCGGTGTTGGGAAAATATTTTTCCGGCTGTGGAGTTTTGTACAGATGCGATCAAAACTCCAAGCAATGACGTACCCAGTTGGCCATTCTACTGAATATTTTCCCATGTCGGCTTCCTTTATGTAATGGATGTTCATCCAAAACGGGCGAGCGGATCTAACCCTTAGCTGAATCGGGAACTTGCACCATTGCATAGAGATTCGACCATTAATAGGCTAGTCAATCGGGTGCATGGGCTTTAAAAATGAAATGAGCAATGCCGGAAGCTTCTCTACTCCTTTACTAATGAGCTTAAGCTTTGCCTTTCGAACTCTAGAGGAAACGGTTGGGGCAGCAGCAGAAGTTAGAAGGCAGTGACTTTTTTAACGAAAGAGCCTAGGGCAAATCAAATGATAGCGGTGAGTAGTTCGGAATGGCGAAAGCACCAGGGCATGCAAAAACGAAATGTTTCCATGGATCGATGGTAACTGGAAGTCGAAACTCAAAAACCAAAGCCACTCAATATTCGAAAATCATGTGACTGGCAGTTCTTTCCGCCGCATTTAAAATAGGCAGAGGATTACGCAGGGTGAAGCGATCTGCATAAACTCGCTGAATTTTTCGGTGTGTTGAATTGTCAAGAAGCATAGTCGGAAGGTTCACTGACCGTGAAAGCCAACGGCAACATTCCAACCTCGTGAATTGAGGACTCTGGAATTTCTCTATTATCTGGGGATTCCTTCTCGAAACGCGCACGGCTCGTCTACTAAAGGTCTCCGGTGGAGGCCCAAGTTGGGTTGCGGGCAAATGGCACGATATCGACTAGGCCTACAGGGTCGATACATCTTGCACGAAATGACAGCATGCCCCTTTGCACGCGCTACCTGGTGTCTTTTCCAACAGAATTCACCGTTGAAGCGCCTAAACAAGGTGTAACACATGCCGACCCAGAAACCCACCGCAACCGCCCGCCCACAAGTGACCGCACACGCACATCGACACTGGTATTCTTATCGCTTCATTTATAAAGTGCACTTGATAGTATAAAGCGTTGCTGCACGGACACATGAATGCATACATGCAGCTGTATTTACCACAGCGGTTGTCAGCACAATGCCAACGGAAAACTCGTCTAAAAATGCTCCTCCAGAGCAGTGCAAAACAGTGGTTTTTTGCAACTTCGCAGCGGCCTTAAACCTTGCTTTTTCGCCAGTTTCCCACGGAATACCACCCCGCTATCATTTTCGAGCAAGCAGCGAATTATCGTGCCCCATGCCTTTGAGCGAAGCAAGTGGCACGATGAATCGACTAGGCCAGTAGGGCCGATACACCTTGCACGAAATAGTAGCATGTCCATAAGCACGCGCTGCCTGGCGTCTTTTCCATCATTGAAGCGCTTTAGCAAGGTGCAACATGCCCACCCGGACACCCACAACCACTCGCCCACAAATGACAGC